CCCCCATACATACGTTCACTTTTATGGCTTCTCTTTGGCATACTGGAATTGCCAGCATTACTACTCTTACATTTGGGGGCCATTACAGTCACGTGCTGCATAACAACTTTTCAGTCAATAACAGACCTCATGTATGACAGTGGTCCCATAAGATTATAATGGAGCTAAAAAATTCCTATCACCTAGTGATGTAAGGTCTTAATGCAATGCATTACACAAAGACTTACCATTCTGTTACAACTGCTTACAGTATTCAGTATAGTAACATGCTGTACAGGTCTGTAGCCTAGAAACTGTAGGGGAACAGAATTTGTCACCCCCAAATATGTCTCTTTGGCATAAGGACTGTATTAAGCTGGTTAATTGTAAGAAGTAGCAGACATGAGAGAAGCGCTGAAGACCAAATATAAAGTAACCTTTGTAAAAGACATTTACATTTATAATGGAAATCCCTATTTGTAATGGTTTCTCCCTGACTGTACCAGGAAAAAGGTGAAGGCCTTATCTCTAAAAAACCTTGTACCAGTGAAGGCCAGGACTCAAATCTCTGTAACAACCTTACCCTTGTTTATCATACTTTTCCTGGTAACCTCCCATAATTGACTCCCCCTATCCCTAACATCATCTTTTCTCTTCAACTGAAGATGGTATGTATCTAAAGGGTGGCTTCAGCCATTTTGACAAGTCAGTTTTCACGGGTCTCTCCTATGTACACGAGAAATATTTGTGGGTTTTCTCTTATTAATCTGTCTTATTACAAGGGGTCTCAACCAAGAACCCAGAAGGGTAGAGATAAAATTATTTTTCTTTCCCTACAGAGCAACAGGCTGTATACCACATAGCCTAGGTATGTAGTAGGCAAATACCATCTAGGTTTGTGTAAGTGCACTCTATGATGTTAGCACAAGGAGGAAATCACCTAATAAGAAACATCTCAGAATACATCCCCATCATTAAGTAGCACATGGCTGTATTAAGTAAAAAAAAAAAAGCACTGCAATACTGCAACATGCAACAGTAGACCTGAAAACACAGACAGCTATTAACTAAAGGTTTGGTAGCATATGCAGAATGGATACGTTAGAAGACAGAATGGGTAGCATCCTCAAAGGATGGTTTGAGATTTCATTAAATTGCACCTTAAAACAGGGTGCAATTTAAAACTTATGAATTGTTTATTTCTGAAATTTTCCATGTAATATTTTCGGAATAGTTAGCAGATAACTGAAATCTCAGAAAGGGAAACCATGGATAAGGTGAGACTACTATATGCTGTATCTTTTCAACATATGACTAGAGAACTAAGCCCATATGAACTTGCTACTCTTTAGCAATTAGGATTATTTGTGAAAAAGCCAATGCACATTCATCTAGGCTTGGTCTTCTAGCTATATGTTAAGAAGACATAACATAAAAATGCCCCAAAATAAAGGGATAATTTGTTTCTCAATTAAAAGGACAAAAATAAACCCCACAATTTCTGATTTTAACAATTTGATATGACTATAAAGCTACTTAAAACCATGAGTGGCAAGGGATTGCTGCAGATAGCAACCAGTGAAGTCTCAAGACACTATACCATGCTACTATACTGTCAATTCTAGGCAAAGGGGGGAAAATCTGTTACACGGCCCTTTCTAGTACATAATTGCAGTTTTTATTATTAGAATCAAGATTTTCAAATTGAGAACCACTGCCCTAGCAAAATGGATGTGACATACCTCAAAAACTGTTGAAAACATATGAAACAGTATATATTTATATATTTCTGGCCTGATTCCTGGCTGTCAGTAAAATAACTCATTTCTCCTCACCCACCTAATCTAGATCTTATTTTATTTTTAAGAAAAATTTTTATTTGAAAAAATAGAAATCTTAAAAACTTACCGTCTCACAAATGATTCAAAGGCTTGAATGCAGTACTCTCTTAACTCATCATCATCTACATTACAAAATTTTACCACCAAAGGAATTATCTTCTCAAGGTATTCACCTAAGAAAAGCATACTGGTTCTTAAAAACATTCTCTAATACTTTTTTTAAATTAAAGAAAATTTGAAAATATTTAAGTATTTCTTACCTATTCTATGGCCAGCTTGCCTACTAATAGCAGCAATACATTGTATGTAGGTTCTTGTTGTTGACATGGAATCATTTTTGGACAACTCTGACAAAAGATGTTCAATAAGATCTACAAAAACTATATTTCCACAGCTCATAACCAGATGGCCAAGAGCAATAATGGTTCTTTTCCTCACTGCAAGTCTAGGGCTGGTCAACTGGGGGAGTAGACAGGTCAGAATTGAAGGATGGAAATTAACAAGAAGTCCTCCTTGCCTTAAAATAAAATAAAGGAAGAAAATGACAAATAAATTCAAGATGTCTGAGCATTACTGAAATGTCTGGCCCCTGAACTCAGTATATTCAAAAATTAAAAATTTACATGACATAATCTAAATTTAGAATGAAAGGAAAACTAAATTCTTACTATCTCTACCAACCCAACTGAAAACTTGAACTAAGTGAATGTAGTTTTGAAATTTGTTTCCCTAAATTACCTTCTGGAATCTAGACCTATATTCCCATTTATAGGATATCCAACCAATAGACTTGGGAGTACATTAAAAAATAAACCACAATGATCTTGTAATTTTCCCCTTCCCAGATTTCTAAATTAATTTTCTCTATTGATAGCTTTTTCTCTATTACAGCTCCTTCAGGGTTCACAACTCAAAATATCAACACCTTTTGACTATCCTCTCTCCCTATTGTCTTTTCTCTATACATCTACAGATATAATATAAAAGAGTAAAACAAAACAAAGAAACTTTGATGAAATACTGAAGTCACAAATTTTATGAATTTACTTCTCAAAACTATATACAACATGCTTGCTATGCAACACTACATGATAAATATAATTAGCTTATTTCTCCCCTCACTCCTAACCACACATTTATAAAACAGCCACACTTAAAACATGGATAATTTTAGACCAAGTTATATTTATTAGAAGGGATTTTTAATAAATGCACATATTTATATTGCAAGTAGTATAAATTATAGGCATGTTTACCTGCTCAACATATCAGCCATAATATCCAATGCTTCTAGCTGAACAGAGACATCTTCCTGCTTTGCTATTGCACTGGTAAGACGTCCAGTAATCTTTTTACATACATTAGCAGCTAATGCAGAGCCTGCATGAATAAGAAACCAATAATCATTTCAAGGCAAGTATTTTTAATTCCACCTCACATTCACAGAAGCTGCCAAATATTCAACAACTTTAAATTTGATTATGAGACTGACTCAAGAGATTGATGTCACAAAACAAAACAGGTATTTCTCAATAAAAAAAATTTATCAGACAAACAAAAATTAGAGAGAATAACTGCAGAAAAAGAATACATGACCCAGGGAAAACAATATGGATTCAGATAGGCTCTATTGGACAACTATCTCTATGCATGGCATGAATGCCAACTACGGAATCAGTAGTAGCTGTAAGTGGTTGGAAAGCAGGAATGAGATTTTTCTCTGCTGGAGTCCTCTTTACCAGTAACCTACACTTTTAAATTTCAGTGAATTAAAAAACAATGATTAACATGGTTTCTTAAAAAAAAAATACTAATAATAACTGTAAACTCTAATAAAATCCATTCCAATCCAAAGATTCCACAACTTCATTACAAAGTAAGTGTTGCTGCAGAGAATTCATAAATCAAGGTTACTATTTTAAAGTAGGTTTGTGTTACTAAAGTGAGGGAAAAATTTTTTGAAAGGAAGAACCTGAATGGTTAACAACCAGAAATCAGCTAAAAACAAACATGTTTTAATGAGGAGGAAAAAAAAAAAGGAAAATGTCAATATAGCTAATATAATTATAAATAACATACTTGAGTTGGTGAAATAACTAGTTTTAAGTTTTTAAAAAAATTACCAAGTAGCTGTAAGAGGCTCAACCTTACCTAAAAGATACTAGTAAACTGAACTATTTCACAGCTGTCTTAACAGTGTTAAAAGTTTTACATCATAAATTCCAATGCAAAGCAAAATTAATATTGAAAATTAAGAGCTAACCAGAAGTAACTCATGATTTTGGTTAACTTTTTCCTTACTGCATAGGATAGCATAACTATATTCTGTAGCCACGGTACGTAAACAATATTATATCTTGCTCCAACATAAGAATCCTTCAAAACAGTTATTCCTATGAGATACTTAAATTCAATCAAAATATTCATTTAAAACTGAATTTACTTTTAATCAAAAATAAGACTCTGGGCTTGTTTTTCTTAGTTGTTCCAAGAGATGATTACCAAAGATCTTTTAGGATAGACACCTCTCTTCCTCTCTGACCAGGAGGAAAAAAAAAAGAGTAGAGGAGAAATATCTCCAAAGGGAAATAGGAAGAAAAGCATGATCTTACTTACCACTGGAAGCTGGAGGAAGTTCTCCAATTACTGTTTTAAGGCCAATACTTGAAATATCTCGAAGTTGTTCTTTATCAGAAAGCATGTTAGTGCAGAGGGTATCTACAATTGTCTCTACTTGGTATTCCTTCACTTTACTCACTAAAGGCCCAAGGCTGTAATATAAAGAAAAGCAAACATTTAAATCTAGATAAATATAAAAACTAAAAGAAACAAAGAGAACATTAACTTTCCTGCCTAGGACCTGTCAACACAGAGTAAACACACCATGCCTGAATCGTGAATAGTATGCAAATAAGGGTATACAAGAAATTCTTGATTCATAAGCTCTTTGCAGCTGGTTTCCAATCCCCCCCCCACACACACACACACTGATTTCCATCATAGTACAATGAAACTTAAGATAGTACTACTTTGTATATGCTGTTCATGTTAGGATTTTATACTGTTAGGTTTGTATATAGACCCACTGGTTAAGGGGAAAGAGAAGTCATTGCTTTGTGTCCTTTCCCACAGAATTTAGCACATAATAGGTAATGTTGAGTGCATGACTACTCATTGAGGAGGAGCCATTATATTCAGGACTGTACTGAATAAAAAAGTATAGCCGCTATCACCAAAAATTTACCATCTGGTTGGTGAGGTAAGGAATTAACACGACTTTTAGAAATGACCTGAAGGTACTATTCTACACAAGTTTTGTAAAAAAAACCCTTTTAAACTCAATGTTATCTACAGGATATTGCACCTAAGAGTTTTTTAGGTACAGGGCTTTGATGGGATATAGTTAGAAGAGCATTTCATATACGAAGATCAGAGACTAGAATAAGTGAAATGCATACTCAAAGAAATGAGATAAAAGAACTGTTTGATACAGAAGGCAAATGAAAAACGTAATAGGAAACGTAGGCCCCTGGGACATTATGGAGAACCTTTAAAGTTAGACAAATTAATTTAAATGTGTTGTGGGAGCCGATGGATTTTCTCAAGCATAAGTGACAGAATAAAAATAGTTTAATTTGATAAATGCTCAGGTTAATGTTTCACATATATATGCTCAATAAATAAATGCTGCTTGACTAGAGAAGTAGTAAGGAGAGAAATTTGGGGAGTTAAGAAAGAAAAATAAACAAAAACGTTAAATCCAAGAATAGTCCAATTCAAAATGATGGCAGTGACAGCAAAGACATGGCATATATGGAGAGAGACACTCAAGATGAAACAATGAAAATTGGTAGTGAAAATAAAAGGAATTAAAAAATGAATTTAAAGAGTTCTAGCTTCCATTACTGACAAAATAGCTCCGTTGGACTAACTTTCCTGCAGGTAACAACTGTAAGGTCTCTACAACTATTATTTTAGAAAACAATTTAAATGCCAGATAATGATGAAACTAAAACCAGAGGAAAACTACCTACATTCCATATCCAATAAAATTACCCTTAAAAAATGCAGATAAATTAAGACAATGTCAGTTAAAAAACAAGAATATATCGCCACCAGACCTATACTACAAGAATTGCCAAAAGAAGTTCTCTAGGCTAATGGAAAATTAAACCAGATGATAAGTTGGATTTATAGAAAGGAATAAAGATCACTAAAAATGGTAAATGTGTATACATATAAAAGGATACATTTTTTAAATTATATATTTTTTGCATTATGGACACACACACAAATATATAAAAAACAATAACACAAAGACAGAAGAAAGAAAAGTGAAAATTACTGCAAGGTTTATGTAATTTATACCATGTGGTACAATACTAACTTTTAAAAGATTGTGATAAATTTAAGATGCAATTTATAATCCCTAGCCTAGTGACAATTTCAAAAAGTAATGCAAACAGCTATCTAAAGACCCCAAAGAACTTTTCTTTGCGTGGGTTGTACCTGTCAATATTTACCACATTAAAAATTAAAAGCGACAATAAACCCATTATATGTTAACATAAACAACATTTAAGAAAAATTATATTACCCCCAAAAATAAAAGTCAGAAAAATTTTACATTTTTGAAAATTAATTTGGTGCTTAAAACAACTGGATTCAATCTGTTGTAATATCATATATCACGTGGTCTCTGGAAAATTATACTGTGCACTTATGAGAAAAGGAGAATCAAAGGGAAAATATTCATATGTAATTATTCATATAATAGCCTTGATACTTTCAAGGTCACAGGATGTCCCAGGAACCCCCAAATCAAACTAAGAATTGCTGCTATAAAATATATGATTAACCCAAGAGGTAGCAGGGGAAGAAAACCAACAACCAAATAAAAACCGTAAGAACAACAACAAAATAAAAAACAAGAAGCAAAATGGCACACCTAAATCCAACCATATCAATATTGACAATAAATGTCAATGGACTATTTGATGTCTACAAAATACAGAATTTAAAAATAAAAAAAGAGATTAAAATGAAAGTAATATATAGAGATACACTATCCAAACATTATCTTAAAAAAGTTGGAGTGGCTACATTAATATAAAAGAAAATATATTTCAAGATATGGTATATTTAAAGAGAAATATTTTATACTCATAAAACAGTCAAATATCAGAAAGATAAGTACCCAGTCATACAGCTTTAAAGTACATGAACAAAATCAACATTAAAGAGAAAAACAGATAAATTGACAATCATAGCTGGAAATTTTAACACCCCTCGTTTGGTATTTAATATCAACAAAAGAAAAACATCACTAAGGATATAAATCTGAACAATACTATCAACTACATGACATAATTGACATTTCTAAAATACTGTACTCAAGTACTGAATACACTTTCTTTTCAGTGTTCAAGGAACATTCACCAAGACCTACCATATGCTGAACCATAAAACAAATCTCAGTAAATACACAAAATAAAGAATCCAAAAACCAAACAAAACCACCCTGAAATCTTAAAGAATATGGCTCTCTGACCATAATGAAATTAAGTTACAAACCAGTAAAAATAAAAACAAACATCTAGATGCCTTCAAACATTTGAAAATTGCTTCTAAATAATCCATAGATCAAAGAAAAATCACATCGGAGATTAAAAATACTTCAAAAACAAAACAAAACAAAAACAACAAAAAATAAATAAATAAAAATACTTCAAATAGAATGGTAATAAAAATACCAAAATTTATAGAATGTAGCTCAAGAAAGTACTTAGAAAAAAATATATGCTTTTAAATGTTTATGAATTAGAAAGGAAGAGTGAGAAGGAAAGTAATAATATGGATAAGAAATCAATGAAATAGGCAACAAATAATAGAGAAACTTAACAAACCATAAAATCAGTTATTTGATAAGAATAGTAAAGTTGGTAAATCCCTAAATAGAGGAACTAAAGAGAAAAAAGAGAACAAATTACCAAAATCAGGATTAAAAGGGGGATAGTAACTGATGACAATTATTTAGGTAGAAAAGCCTGAAGAATCAACAAAAAAGTATGAGATATTGCAGTTCATGGTTAAAAGACTGACTCATTCTTGTTAGGATGTTGATTCTCTTCAAGTATTTCTATAGCTTCAACACAGTCCCAATCAAAATATGAGCAAGGTTACTTATAAAATAAAATAGAAATTGACAAACTGATTCTACAATTTACATGGAAATACAAAAATCAGTACTCTTTGGAGAGGAAGAATGAAGTTGTGCAACACATCTATGGGTCTACTCCAGCGATTCCCGCCCACGGGCAATTTTGTCCTCCGGCAGACAGCCAGTACAGGTACCGTTGGGACAGTTTTGGCTGTCACTAACAGCCCAGGGAAGAAGGAACGCTACTGGCAGGAAGTGGGGTCAAGGCCAAGGTGCTACTAAACATCCTACTGCACACCTAATAGCTCCTCACAACAAAAAATTACTTGGCCCAAAAAGTTAATAGTGCCATGGCTGAAAAAGCCTGACTACTCTAATAAAACAGTGCTGTACTGGCACTAGAATAGACATCTAGACAACAGAACAGTGATCCCACTTCTAGGAATATATCTTAAGAATCCTGAAACACCAACAGAAAGAATTTACGCACCCCATGTTCATGGCAGCACAATTTACAATAGCTAAGATCTGGAAACAGCCCAAGTGCCCATCAGTAGATCAGTGGACAAAAAAGCTGTAGGACATTTACACCATGGAATACTACGCAGCTGTAAAGAAGAAGGATCCCGTACCCTTTGGGACAGTATGGAGGGACCTGGAGAGTATTATGCTAAGCAAAATAAGCCAGTTGGAGAAAGACAAACATCACATGATCTCACTCATATGTGGAATATAATGAACAAAAAAAACTGACGAACAAAAAAGATCCAGAAACGTTGAAGCATGCAACAGACTGACATATTTCAGAGGGGGTAGGGGTGGGGGCAGGAAGAGATTAACCAATGGACTTACATGCCTAGATACATAACCCAAGGACACAGACAACAGTGTGATAAAGGCCTGGGGAGGGAGCTGGAGAGGGGTGGAGGGGGTCAATGAGGGGGAAAAAAGGGAACATCTGTAATACTTAACAATAAAGACAAATTAAGAAAGAAAGAAAAAGAATGTGTAACAACTAGTACTTTCATGTAAAATGGTACAAATATTTTAGGGAAAAATTTGGTAGGCTCTTAAAAAAATCAAAATGGAAAACAGCAATTTCATACTTAGTATTTTTCCATAAGAAATAAAGACACACGCACTGTATTAAAAAGGACTCATACAAGAATGTTCGGTGTATCTTTTATTCACAATAGCCAAACCCTAGAAACCAAATGTATAACAGACTGTGGTATTGTTGACTATTGTTTTAAAAATATGTCTTTATTGATTTCAGAGAGAGGAAGGAAGGAGGAGAGGGAGAGAGAGAAACATCAATGATGAGAGAGTCATCGATTGGCTACCTCCTGAACGCCCCCTACTGGGGATGGAGCCCACAACTGGGGCATGTGCCCTGATTGGGAATCAAACCGCAGTCTCCTGGATCATAGGTCAATGCTCAACCACTGAGCAACGCTGGCTGGGTGTGGACTATTAATCAGTAATAAACTCATAAAACAATAATACACCCATAAGCCAGACACAGAAGTGCACATACTGTATGAGTCCATTTAAGTCAAGTTCTACAAGAGGCAAAACTAATTTAAGATGAACAAAACAATGGTGACCTCAAGTAGGGATGTTGTGTGTGAGGTAAGAAAACAATTTTGCTTTTTCAAATGTTTATCCAGTCTTTTGAAAAAAGGCCCAACTTTTCACCAATGATGCCTGCCACCTACCTTCATTATGTACTTTCCACTCTATTTTACTTCACTGGTCTATTAATGTCTCACTATCTCACTGTTTTGATTAGAGAAACATAACAGTATGTTTTCCTATCAAGTAAGGCTAATCAACACCCCCACTCCCACTCCAACTCCAGCACCTATTATACTTTTATAGTGTTTTCTTAGCTATCTTGAGCAAACATCCTGCCCCCTTCTCCTTCCCACCAAAATTTACTTTAGAATCAACTTGTCTAGCTGGTGGGCAAAAATTACTGATTTTTATAATTAGGCCAGCATTAAATTAACCTGGAGAAATTGAGTTATCCTAACCCAAGAACATGGAATGTCTTTCCATTTGTTCCAAGTACATTTGTTTCCAAGTACATTTTGGTTATCCATTAGGAGTATTTTTAAGTTTTCTTTCATGTAAGTTTTGAAAAAGATAAAATTGTTAAGTTTCTCTTTACAATACCCTCACTCAAGGTCACCACTGTAACATTTCTTGTTACATTTATTCCAAGGCATTTTGTCTTTCTGTTGCTGTAATAAATGAACATTTGTTTCCACATCTTCCAACTGGTTATTACCTACTTATATGAAAGCTACTGATTTCTGTTCATTAATTTTACATCCTGTTGCTTCACAGAATTCTTATTGTTTACATCAAAATTTTTCCCCCTATATTGACATATTTTCCCATGTACCCTTTTCAATACTTATGTGTCTAATTTTTCCCCCTTGTCTTACTGTGGCTAATAAATACCTTCAAAAGAAATGCAACAGGGACAGAGACACATCTTTGCCTTGTTCCTGACTCGTGTGTGGAGGTATCTGGTAATTTACTGGTATTTGCAATGAGGTATGAATGTGTATGTTTGTGAACTTTCAATGCTAAAAAGGTACTATCAATTCCATGTTATTAAATGTTTTACTTCAGGTAATGAATTATCTCTACTGAGATAAAGCATCCCTGGCCTCTTCTTCCCACTAATGACACATTAAATACAATGCTGGTATTTGGAAGGTGCTTCACTCCTCTATTTATCCAAAGTAGCCTAAGTGTTGGGTTTGTTTGTTAATCAAAATCAAGTTAAATCTTACAGTGCCTTGACAATTAACCAGGTAGTTTTTTCCTTCCTTTGATCTATTAACATGGTGAAATAAATGTATTAATAAAGCACATAATATTGAATTGCCCTATATTCTTGGGATGCACCTCACTTGACCATAATATGTTGCACTCAATATTTTTTTAATTTTATTTTGAACATTTAAATGGAACTGGCCTGTAGTTTTCTTTTTTAATGTTATTTTTAGTCAGGATTTATCATCAGTATTTAGTTTAAATAAAAGATTGGAAGGTTTTCATACTTTATGTTCTAGAATAGTACTAGAAGTATGGGTACTGGAATTGTATGTCCTTTGAGGTTTCAAGGTGTGTGTGAAAGATTTTTGGGCCTGTCTTTTGGATGATAAGTTCTTTGCCAATTTTATAAGTTTCCTGATAAGGCTACTTAGTAATTTATCTATCTATTGGGATTTTTCCTCCTCCAAGAATCAGACCTTGAGTTTTATCTCCTAATTTATTACTTTTCTTTATATCTTAATTCTTTTATTTTCTTGAATATGTGATTTCTCCCCCAACCCATTAAGTATAAAAGATCATCAAAAGATCAAAAGCTCAGGTTCCTATGAGTTAAGATTCCTACTCAAGTGGTAAAGACCTAAGTACCTGGAACAAAGACTACTTTTTTTGATTGTATTTAAAGGCCAGTAAATGTTCAGCATGTATTTTGAACAAAACTTTCTTTATTAAGCAAATGGCAAAAAATTTAAAATATGAACAAGTTGGAATTGTTCTGCAACTTTAACATGTGTCTGTTGAAGACCTATTTTATTTTAAGCTTGCAAATATCCCAAGTTAAGGAAATACATATAAAAGAAAGTTTTTTTCTTGAATATATATATATATATTTTTAATGTCTCTTTATCTTTATTGTTGAGACCATTACAGATGTCCCCCTTTTAATCCCACTGATCCCCTCCACCCCACATCCATCCCACCCCCAGGCCCTCCCCACACCAATGGGCATCCAAGGGCCATGCCCATAAACATACAAGTTCCCTGATTAATCTCTCCGCTCCCACATCCCCCTACCCCCCTTCCCTCTGAGATCCCTCAGTTTATTCCAAGCTTCTATGTCTCTGGATCCACTTTGTTCATCAGTTTGTTTTATTATATTCCACATATAAGTGAGATCATTTGGTACCTGTCTTTCTCTGACTGGCTTATTTCACTTAGCATAATACTCTCTAGTTCCCTCCATGCTATGCCAAAGGCTAAAAGGTCCTAGAAATTCTATGCTGACCTATGATTTCTCACATTTTATGTAAAGGCTTAGCTCAAAACCAATTAAAAGTCTTTATAAGAAAATCCAATAAAGCAGTAATGAGACAATGCTTCATTTAACTGATATCAAATATTATGTGACATAAAATTCTATAATTTAATTTTATATGAAACTAAAGGTTATACTTACTAATAACTTACTACGTAAATTGTTAAGGATTTCTAATATTTGGTATGTATAAATTAAATAGATGCATTAACAGAATAAGTCCAACTTTCAAGTTTTCTTATTAGCATCATGCCTAACAAGATGCTCCTACTATATTATACACACGACAATTGGAATTCTCACAATTTTTAAGAAAGGTTCTTTGTAACTATTTTATCATCAGTGTTGATTTGTTTTAATGATGGTTTTAACTGCTGCTATTTTTTTTATTTTATTTTTTGCTATTTTTTAAGTCTTACTATTTTTGTCTTTACTTCCCTTGATCACCGGTTCTTAAATTTTTTCCACACTGGAATATAGAGGTGGATAGAGGCAGGTAGGCCTTTTAACAAAGCTAAAAAAAAATCAGGTCAGCCCGGCCAGGCGTGGCTCAGCAGTTGAGCGCCGACCTAGGATCCAGGCAATCGGGGTTCGATTCCCGGTCAGGGCACATGCCCAGGTTGCGGGCTCGATCAATAACTCTCTCATCATTGATGTTTCTATCCCTCTCTCTCCCTCTCCTTTCCTCTCTCTGAAATCAATAAAGATATATTTTTAAAATAAATAAATAAATAAAATATCTTCCTTTAAAAAAAAAAAAAAATCAGGTCAAACAAGTCAGAGAACCACTCTTTCTGGAGTTTCCTATATGTACTTCTTAATAAAATACCATAAAAGGCTACATTTAGTCAATATAGAAACTATAAGAAAATGTATCATATGTACCAAGTATAAACACTAAACATTTACCACTCCCTAACTCCAGAAAGACATAGTACAAGATTAAGATAATTTACCAATTATTGCAGTATTTTAAATGTGCTAGAGGGCATAGTAAGCAAGTAAAAAAACTTACCATTTGACAGCTAAATTCTGTACCTCTCCATTTTTATCTTCCAGTAACTTCAAAATCATTTTCACTACTTTCCTTTCACTATCGTCATCCAACTTGATAGAATCTTTCTGCAGTTCTGTCATCAAATCATTTGTAGCCATAAACCTATCAAAAAATTAAAATTTGTCAAAAATTTAAATAAGTTATCATTACTCCAAATTACCTTCCCCAGGTTAGTCTTGATTTCAAATTTACTGATAGGACTATAGTGACTGATCTTTCATTCTAATTTATTGCATCACTGCTTTTAGGGGGAGAAAAGCTCCTTGTAACTTTTTCTTTGCATGTGATTTGAATTTTACCTAGGAAGCCTTTAATTACCAACATTAAGAATACCTTCCTAAGTATATTGTGTGTTGAGCTGAGGTCACATAATACAAATTACTAGGAAATTTCCAAAATCAAATTCTCACCTCCACCTCAACTCCCACCACTAGGTATCATTTTCAAAATGATGAGGTGATTCTAGAAAGTTGTTGCACCTGACACCCAAGCCCCTCCCCTTAAGAACCACTGCCAAACATTTAAGACTAAACACCTCACAAAAACTCCCAAATGATCAACTGTCTAATCTCAGTTTTAAATGAAAGCGTTGATCAGAAGATAAAATAAGGTAAATAGATTTGCAGATTTTTCCTTATACCTCACCAGACAATTGTTTCAAAAGTAATTTTGCAGAATATTAGATAATCACATTGAAATCAAGCCCCCAAATCTGTTTAAAGACCAATGAATTTTCCCCATAATTCTTGGCTCCCTTCTACCTATAAAAAGAACCTAACTGAAATAACTACTTAATGCCTTTTTCTTTTATTTGAACTAGATCCTGTTTGAGCAGAAATTCAGTATTTTATGTTACAAGCAGAAATATGAAAATCCACGTTTAAATCAATTAAAAAACAACCATTAAAGCTGAAACGATAAACAGCTATGCATATAGCCTGGCAATGTAGGCACTAAACTATGTGGCAAGGATTTGGCAAAACAACTTATTAATTTAGCAACTCATTACTTATAAAGCAATTTAAAGATAACTCCAGTAATTAGTGTGTTCATTTAATGCTGATTTCACAAAGTTTTAAACTATATGCAAGCACAATTTTTATCAAATTTTGTAAAAGTGGTTATAAAGAAAAGCTTATGTTCAAATTGAGACAACACAAGGTAAATTAAGCATGTACTTTTAAAAACTGGACAGTTCTCCTTATTGGAAGTCCCCCCCCCATTTATATGACAAAACTAAATTAAAACCACACAAATTCTGGAAAGTAAAATAAAACAAACTGAATAGCACACGAATGCAGGTACTTCTAAACATAACACATTAAAAGCATCTTAACCATTTTACTTAGATAAAATTTTTAAATAACCATTGTAATTAGCACCTCTAAGAATCCCTAAAATGCTAATCATCTGGTTAAAGAAAAACATAATGATTATCAATTTCAGTAAAAAAGCAGATAATCTCAATGTAAATAATTGTTTTATGGTTCTGAAGTGATTCTACTAGCATACAGATTCATTCATTTAATCACTGCCTATTATTCTTATATTCTAATAACTCTACTGATTTTCAAAAAACAATTAATAGTTAACATGTTAAAATGATGACCTGCAAAACTAACAATAGATATTTTTAAAAATCAGAAAAATTGGATTCTGTAGTATGAAGTTGTAAGAGTTACTTTTTATTTTTTAATTTTTACAAAAATATATCTTTATTGATTTCAGAGAGAGGAAAGGACAGGCAGAGAGAAAGACAGAAACATCAGTGATGAGAGAGTCATTGATCGGCTGCCTCCTGCACGCCCCCGACTGGGGATCGAGCCCACAACCCGGGCATGTGCCCTGACTGGGAATCGAACCCTGATCACCTGGATCCTAGGTCGATGCTCAACCGCTGAGCCATGCCCGGCCAGGCTAAGAGTTACTTTTTAATAATGACACTGAAAACTAAAAAATTCTGAGAATTTCTTCCTTCTGTTAATATAAAAAAACTATACTATAAATCTTCTTATAAGGAAATTGACCATTATGAGAGCTGTCCATGGCAGATTCAAAAGCCAATTGGTAAAATGTCTCTTGAGCATTTACTCTTTTAGGTATGGCGCTAATGGCTGAGATAATAAACACAGAGTCAGTCCCTTTCTCTTAACTTTTTCATCTACTATGGCAGACAGATAGGTAAAAGGACAAATCTCAATCTCACCAGTTTTTTAAAACAATACTCAAGGGCACCTGACAATGACCAACCAAAGAACTGATGGCTAGTTTGAGTCTCAAAGGACTAACAGGGGTTTGCAATGGGAAGGCTGGTTTGGAATTTAAAATGTTTTCTCTGTGTGTGGGTGGTGAATACATACCTCAGAGTAAAGGACTAAGGAGCAGTTCAGTGGAAAGCTGATCTGGTAACCAAGAGGGCAGGCAGCGTATACCGTGTGGATATGCTGGACAGAGATGATTCACATCCAGGTGGGGCACAGCGGGATAGTGAGAAAGCTCAAAACAGTGCTCAATTTAAAACTTATTAACTATTTATTTCTGGAATTTTCCATTTAACATTTTTGGACCCCACAGTTGACTGTGGGTAACTGGAAGTGCAAAAAGCGAAACCGTGGATGAAGAGGCACTAATGTATCCTCTTCTTAGTCTACTTAGTCCCTCGTTTTATGAATATTTGTGCTTTTTGTTGGTAATTTTGCTATTTAAAATAACCCCCAAGCGTAGTGCAAAACTGCTGTCTAGTGTGCCTAAGTACAAGAAAGCTGTGATGTATATCCCAGAAAAAATTACATGTGTCAGGTGAGATTTGTTCAGGCAAGAGTTATAGTGCTGATGGCCTTGAGTTCAATGTTATCAATCAACAACACATATTACATAAGGTGTTTTAAGACAGAAACACACATAAAACAAAGTTACAAACTGGTTAACTGATGAAAATTCTGTGACTTGCTCATAGAAACCTAATCCTTTATTTCCCCTAGGAGCAATGGTTTGGTATTTGCTAACTGAATCTTCATGGCAACTTTGAAAAATGAGAACCAACTCTGAGATTTACAAGGTTAAAATTAACAGGTCTTTGAAATGGATTAGGTATGGGGATGGAAGAGATGGGTTAGGAAATGGACAAAGAAGTAAGAGGAAAACCACAGGACTCAAGTGTTACAGTTGACTCTGTATCCTGACCAGTGTCTTAATGTTATTGAAGAGCCACTGTCACATCAGATGGTTCAATCACTCATTTTACAAGGGAAAGGATTAATAAGCCTGGTTCAACTACAGACTACACTGAATGGCCACTTCTCTGATCTGAAAGAACAAAATATCAGCAATAGTGAAAATGTGAACATCATGAATTAATGTCCTGCAGCCCAAATGCACCTGCCTTTGGCCAAAAATGAAGACTGGGAAAGAAAAAAAACAGCAATCCCTGAAGTCTTGGAACTGATCTGAGGCTCATAGCTAAACCTCAATGTTACTCCAAACTGCTCTGATGTTTACAGCCAAAGCATATTGTTTCCTGGACATATACAACCTCACAGAACAACCGTATCAGACAAATTCACTTAGCAACATAAAATATCAAAAAATTTCCTCCTCTCTGAGTGACTGCTACTTCCTTACCAATTACAGCTCTTTCTCTGCTTTAGCCTTCCCTACCTGTAACATTAAGATGTCCAGTGATAGAATTGCCCCCAATTTCAAACAGCCAATCTAAAGCAAATCTCCCTTCCTTAGACCTTTCCCAAAATTACCCAAATAGGTCCCAAAACCTCTTGCTAAGACATCCCACAGTGTGTGTGCTCCCTCGCTATAAAGTAATAAACCTAATTCCTATATGAGAATTCAAGAAGGAAAAAGTGGTAAACTGCTTACATATCAAATAGATGAGTAAAGAAAATACCCACTAAATTAGTTACATGAAGACTGTTAGGAATTTTGGGGAAAGTAATTTCAGTGAGCTTAGGTGGGCAACAACTAAGAACTTTAGTTTATCTTGTAGTCAATGGGAATTAGTGGGGAAGACAATGATCAGCTGTGATATTGAGGAAGACAATTCTAATGGAAGAGTTACCAACAGATTGCACTAAAAAGAGGCCTCTAGCTGGCTGGCTGGAGTGTCATCCCATGCACTGGAAGGTCATGGATCTGATTCTGGGTCAGGGCACATACCTAGGTTGTGGGTCTGATCCCCAGTTGTGTATGGGAGGCAACCTATCGATGTATCTCTCATATCAATGTTTCTTTCTCTCTCCCTTTCTCCCTCTCTAAAATCAATGAGGGGGAAAAAAGAAAGAGGCCTGAGATAGGGAGACTAATTTGAGAAATACTCATCATGGGACCAAAGAAGAGAAGTAAGGTAAAAGGGTAACATCAAGGTTTTCCAATTGGGACATTTGGTGGATGGTAATGTAACAAGACCAAATAATAATAATAATAATAATAATAATGATAATAATAATGGATTAATTTAAGGTGGGAGGGGGGAAATTAAGATTTTAACTTTCAGACTCACGGGGGAGTCCCACGTGGATATAACTTACAGGCAGTGCCATTCATTCATTTATTCAACAAATATTTTGGGGGTATTATCATTAGGAACTGTGCCATGCTTTGGAAACACAGTTATGAACAAGACAGTTATAGTCTGGAACTTACACACCTGGCTTATTCTACAGAACTGAAAGCTCCTTGAGGAGAGAACTTACTCACCTTTAGTAAATCCAAAGCAGAGAAGCTTAAATAATGGTAGAAATAAATACCTTGTACTGCACAATGAATAACTCTCACAACAACACTTCCTCTCATGTGTAAACACAATTTTACCCTTGTGGCCAGCTGCACCAAAAATCTAAGTGATATGGGCCAAATGCATCATTCTGTGAACCAATTTTCTTTCAAGGACCTTATACACACCCCAAGACTATCTAACTTTTTATTTATTCCCTTAGAGACATTAATTAACTTGGGACAGCCTTAATATTGTTCATGTAAACAAAACTGATTTTTAGTCATCTTTCTTCTTCCTGGTTTCCTCAATGAGGTCCCTTTCTCCTCTTTTTCAATGGTGAGCTGTAATCATTGCTGATAATCAATGTTACCAGTATACCTATATCAAGAAAAATCATGTAAGTGAAATCAAGTAACTTACTGCCACCAACCTGCAAAGTACTTAAAAATGCCTCCAAATCACCTTCTTAATCTCTACAAATCTATTTCTTCTGATTAAACCTACTTTTTTCAAGCACAAGCAGTCCAGATAACTTCACTTAGTATTTCCTGTAATATTACTGTAAATGCTCACACAATACTTTCAGCTATGTTATAGGATCTCTAATATCCCTTCCAGCTCTGAAAACCTGATTCCATTTAACAGGACTGAGATTTTTATTAGCATTTTAAACAGCTTTCCAATATCCAAAACACATAAGTAAATACAATAGGAAACACAAACCATTATCACGCTAGGAAATTCTACAATACAATGAATTATTTTAGACTGTATAAAATGGTATTTAAAAAAATAGATTGGTAGATTTTATACAGTATTCTGGAGCAAACTTCTCCAAATTCTTACATGCTTTTTTCCTTAACTCTGGAACTAAAATCCAATTCAACTAAACAAGCACCTACTGAGAACCCACATGGTCAAGGCACTAAACAGAATGAAGGATTACGTTCAGTAAGACAAGGTTCCTATCCTCAAAGAGTTTCAAGAACAATATTCGTTCCTCAGATACAGTCAAGATTATCTAATCCTTCTCCCCCAATGAAATTTTGTACAGTGTGCTTTCACAATATTTTCTCTACCTATAATTTAAAGACCTGCCAGACACTCAAGACACTCCACGAACATGAATCTTCTTACTTTCATCTTCTCTGCTACTTCAACCTGACAAGGACATATTGCCATGGGTTACTCATCTTTTTTCACAATAGTGTCTTAACCATTCAACAAGCATGTAGTGAGGGCCAGCACCAGAACTTCAACTTTTAGTAGTCTCTCTTAGGGACTTACTAAAAGTGTCTTCCAGCACAAAACATTCCGCAAGTCTAACGTAGAAGAAACTGAAATTTAAGGCCTTACTTTTTATGTCCCCTAGTCAAAACCCTAGAGAAATAGCATAACATGGTCGTTAAGAGTTCATGCTTGGAGATATCTGAAAAGCCCAGATCTACTAGTGTCAAACTGACCTGGGGCAAGTATTTACATCACCATTTCAGTTTCCTCAGCTGTAACAGATATTGCTAGTATCTACTGAACTAGAGTTGTAAGCTGGGTGGTTTCAGGTGGTTGGAGCACCCTCTGGTACACCAAAAGGCTGTGGGTTTGATCCCCAGTTGCACCCTCTCCCTTCCTCTCTCTCTGAAAAATAATAATAATTTAATCCTTGGGTGAGGATTAAAAAAAATAAATAGGATCAAGTGTATAAAGCCCATATTTACCATTAATATTAACTATTGTGAACAGAGAGATAAAGAATAGTAAATTTTTTCTTTAGCTCTTGATTCCTTGTAATATTTTAATTCAGTTGGTGGTGAAGTATATAAAAATAAAAGCAGAACTTCATTATCTCAACCCATTGAATATTCAATATTAATACAGTATTCATAAATGGAGCATTCACATGATTCAGGCACACTGAAGTTTGCAGTCTGATATCTACAGAATCACCTACCTACCGGCACTAAACCTTAATATATATCCCACCTCCAAATAATATAGAATACTAAACACGAAAGAAAAGGGCATTAGTTGTTTTTTTTTTCAATAAATTGAGCCTATGACTTAAGTCCTACAAAACAATTCTTTTAAAGTGCTGACATTTCAAAACTTTGAAACCTGCACCTATTTCTTTATCTTCTTTGCATTAATGGACAATGTAGTTATCCACAGAAACCTGAAATTTCGGGCCTATAAGGGACCTTATGTCTCTCAAGTGAAAATTTAATTCCAAATTAAGTAGCTTGCCCATGATCTCACAGATATTTCATAACAAAAAGTCCTACATGACAGAACTCATATCTTGAAAGTAGGAGGTTTTCTGTTTGGAGACTACCACGAGAAGAATGTTTTTCTTCCTCTTAGATATATTTTTTTCCCCTTAGCACGAGGTAGAGTGGTTTGCATGTTATATGCTCTACAATGTTAATTAGCCTTGTCCTCATCATCCTTCTAGCCCTAGGTACTTTAAAACATGTAATGGGAAAACTGTGATATTTACATCAAAATAAACAAGTAAATAAATTTCTAATGAGAAACATACAGAAAAATCTTCGAAATACTTGACTTCAAATGCTCACTATTTTAATTAATCTCTTAAATGTCTGTAATTTAATATATTTAGTGCTTTCATTCTAAAGGCTACCACAAGTCTTTAAAAAAAAGTTAATAAAATTTCTTAATGATGTCAAATCACTGGAAGTCACTTATTGTTCCTAAACATATCTTCTACCTAAAAGTATCTTCTGTAATACTCATCAACTATTAGAAATATTTCAATATTACACTTTCAGGAGAATAATCTTCCAAACAATGTTTTGATTTATTCCAGCCCAAACTGATAGACAATCCTCATGAAGCTCACTAACTGTAGCTTAACATCAGAGCATTATTTCTTAATATAGTTTAAAAAGCAAAAACCCAAGCATGTGTATATTTTTGCCTTTACTAGAAATTAAAGAAAGCTTCAGTCAATAATTACATATGCATATTATCACATTTTTTGATTTCTATGTTCTAAACATATCACCCATACACAAGTCTGACTAGTTGAGCAAAATTGTACTATTATAGGGAAAGTGCCATCTTTGAACACAATCAAAATGAAATTCAGTACTTTTACAGAATGAGCCAAACTGACAAATGGGAAGAAGGGGATCACACCATACACTCTACTAGCTGAAAGTTAGTTGAAATGTTTACTGAAACTTCAATGGTTTGCGTTAGGACCAAGAAAAGCTCCAAATGGAAGTAAAGAGCATTCAAATCCTTAAAAAATAAAAAATAAAAAAACCCAAAAACTTTTATTTCCCCTACTAATCTTGATTTTGGCCGTAGAGCTACACAAATCTAAATATCAAAATACCCCAAACAAACATGTCTCCTCCCAAAAGTCACAACACTAAAATCTTTAGTATTAGCAAACTGGATTTTAAAAGTTTCAAATGCAATACTAAAAAACTCCCTAGGTAGCAACTTTCTAAAAAATCACTTGGCTTTGAAGTCACACAACTAAAACTGTATTTTATTGGCAATTTTAATATGCCAGCACATCAATTTAGTTAAGAACACAATCTCTACATTTATCATGGTTCTTGTTTCACAAATAGGGAAATTTCTTACTGGCATATAAGGTTTAGACATGTTTTCAGGTGTTAAATCGTACTGTTCATACAATAAGTAAATAAATACACAAATAAATAAGTAAATAAGCTCTTCAACCACAATCTTAATAGAAGATTCTATATCCTCTCTTTTAAAAATGCACACAAAATACAACCACTAAGCCTTAGAGAACAAAACGAGTATCAAATAAATAATACTTTTTTTTTTTAGATCGAGAGCTTTTTTATTTTGTGATGGGATGGAAGGCGGGAAGAAAGAGTTGAAACAATTACTGTAGTGCAAAAATGAAAGAGAAATCAAGATAATCTATGAAAATATAACACTTTTTCAATATGCATGCTACCAAGGTTAAGAACGGACAGTACAAGTCTCCTGGAACAGAACTGCTATCATATTTACCATCCCCATATTAGAAAACGCTTCTTTCCAATAAGATCCATTTGCTTGGTTTACTTTCTGTTTAAGGTTCAGCAATTCACCTTTCTGGCAATAAATTCTGGATATAAAAAAATAAAACCGAAACCCCGAGTTCTTGCTTGGGTTTTACCTGACAAGGGAAAATGACAGAGATGCTGGCGGGAAAACCCTACGAGTCAAGTTTCCTCCATCCTGGCCACCCTACCCCCTTCCCACTCTCTAGAATGAAATAACCCAAAGAAAAAGTTTATAACCTAATCCGAGAAGAGCTCAGAAACAGAGAATTGTTCAAGATGAATGCACCGAGGCCCACTCACAACTGCGGGAAAGGAGGAGACAGAGAGATGCCCGAGTGGGCTGCAGCTCCGGCCCCAGCGAGAAGGGCGGCCTAGCGCCTCCGGCGGGCCGGCGAGTAGGCCGGGCCTCCCGATCTCCCAGCCTAGAGCAACTCCCTTCCCCACAATATGAGTGATTTCGCCCCTTTTCGCTGCCTGGGACACGAAAATCATGTCGCGTGTGGGGGAGGGAAAGGGTAGCAAAGAATGCGGAGGGGACGTTTGGGGACACAGAAAAGGCCGAGGACCAGCGGCGGGCAACGGCCTGGAGAAAAGAATGGGGGGAGGGGGTTACAAGGTGGGAGAGGCAAGGAGACTGCCGGGATCCGGGACCCGAGTGGCGGGATGGGGACTTGGGAAAAGCGGAGAAACCGGTTCAGGCCAAAGGGGTGGGGCAAGGCCTGTGTGAGGGCTAGGGCCGCGGATAGGGGTTCCCGAGGTGGGTTTAGGGTCGGATTTCGGCCTTACCTGAAGTCCTTGTCACTGGATGTCATTTTTTCCAGCAGATTGGAAATGTGGTACGAGGCGCTCGCCATGTTGACGGCCTCGATCCCGCCCGCTGGCGCTGCAGATGCTGCTGCCCGCTGCCGCCGCTGCTGCTCCTCCTCTTGCTCGCGGCGGTCTCGCTTCCAGGGTCGCAGCGCGACGCCGAAGCTGACTAAGGAGGCGCCTAGACGGGATGCCCCCTCCCCGGCGAGGCGTGGGCCTGTCCCGGGGACAGCAGAGGCTGCGAGGCCCGCCTAACGTCGGCGCTGCTCGCTGGAGACCGAGCTCATGGGAAGCGAGGAGTACAGCAGGACCTCTGGGGAGCCAGACACTTCCACTCCGGCTCGGCTCGCTCCCACTCCCTCCGCACTCTCTCCCTAGGGCAAGAGGCCAAAACCCGCCTCCTTCGCTCCCGGGGCGGGGGCGGCAGACGCGGGACGCTACGGAGAGCTGAGGTCAGGGTTCATGGAGGTCTCCCCACGCACGCTGCAGAGACGCTAGTTAAAGGGCAATCCTGTTGGAGGAGGCTTGTGTCAGTCTTCACGTCTACCGCCTTTGAGGAGGCACGACCACGACCCAAGGGGGCTGTTCTCGCGAGACTTAAATGCGACGGTTAAAGGATGGGGGGGCGAGTGGGATAAGTGTGCTTTAATCTAAAAATAACCTGACTTTTTTTCTGTAGGACAGAGAAAAAGTTTACATTTTTTAAAGAGGAGAAGGTCTGGAATTCATGCTAATTAAAGGGCGAGCCTGGAAACCAGCAGAGGAATTACTAAAAGGAGCTTTCATTTTGAATCGGACGCGTGGCCTACATTGCTTTAACCACGAAGGTATAATATTGCCACGTGAAAACCACAAATCCCAGGATTCAGTGGGGGAGGGGTGTTACCGTGGCTCGGGATGTGATTGGCTGGAGGGACTTCTCTTTATTGGCTCCCGCGGGAGGGAGGGATGCTGGGATCTGCAGGCTGGCGAGGCGGCGATGGTGGAGAGAACCTTTAGGTCCCCGCGCGCTGGGTTTGTGTAGCTCCTTCGGACTTTCTCGGCTTTCGCTGTTCAGGGACGTCTGCAGAGCTAGGCTGTTGCGGTTTGGGCAGGCGCGCTGCGGATCAGTAGTTGTTCTTGGCAAAGGCGTGGTAGCGACTTTCCAACACTGACCCTTGAGAGTGATGGTCGTAGCCGCCTCCAAAGGCAGCAGAGCCCCTGGGCACATCCTCCCGTGCTGCGTGAAGAGGCCGCCGCCTAAAGCGAGAAGGACGAGCTTAAGATGAATGGGCCAGCGACTGATGGTCGTCTTCAGGGCTTATTCGTTTTGTTCAGAAGAGCTAAATGGCTACCCTCTGTAGTCGGTTTTTGTAGACCTGATAATCCTACAGCTGTGTACCTCACTGTGCCCAGAGACGTACACACGCAGCAGTCACAGACTAGATACGAAGTCCCTTGTTTTAGTATCGGTGTTTCTTATCCGCTTAGCTGGAGCCAGCGGCAGGCCTTTTTGAAAGAAAAAAGGGAGAAAACCCAGTCAAGAAAAAAGGGAAATTCAATCTCAGTTTCTTACTGCGCCTGTTAAAAAAATAAAAACTTTAAATAGCTCCTTTCTTCCAAGTATTAAATCTGACCTTTTTCTACTGTTCTTTCCTATAGCTGCCGACTGTTGTTCAGTGTCTTCTAAAAGCGAGGCACTGTTAGAGGCAATAACAGTTAAGACAGATGACTCGGGATTTGACCTCTTAATCCATACCCACATTTTTCCTCATTACTCTTGTTTACTCCCATGTATCCTTTTACTTTAATACTGTTTTTCTCCCCAGTGGTACCACATCTCTTCCCTCATTTTACCCGTCAGCTATCATTAGGTTCCCTGAGAGCTTCAGCCACAATCAGTTCGCTTCTGCTCTGAACGACCCACATACACGTCACACAAATAATCCAGTCATTTATCTTGTGTGGACCCCAAGGCTTAAAATCTGCCATCTGGTGATAACCCTGTCTTTTAGCCTGAATCCAAGCCGTGTGTAAATCCTTTCATTTATCAGTTTCCAACTGAACCATAATATTTGTAGTCAGACAGCTTGAGTATAAATCCTGTTTGCTGCCTCTTACTAGCTGTCTCAGGCAATTCACTTTTAGCTCTCAGAGCCTGAGTTTCTTCGTGGGTAACACGACCATCAGAGTATCACCCCATGGGGTTGTTTTAAGAATCAAATGAGTTTAGTTTGCTTGGGCTGTCGTAACAAAATACCACCGGCTGGGTGGCTTAAACAATAAAAATGTATTTTCTCTCAGTTCTGGAGGCTGGAAGTCCAAGATCAATGTGTCAGCAAAGTTGGTTTCTCCTAAGGCCTTGGCTGGCACACAACCGCCTTGTTACTGTGTTCTCACACAGCCTTTTCTCTGTATGCTCTCACCGGTGGTCTCTCTTCTTACAAGGAAGCCAGTCCTATTGGATTGGGCCCCACCCTTTTAACCTCATTTAACCTTATCAGTGTTCTCATTTAGTCTCAATTACCTCTCTAAAGGCCCTGTCTCCAAATTCTTTTACATTGGAGATTAGGGCTTCAACATATGAATTTGGGGGGGAACACAATTCAGTCCATAACAGGTATCTCATTTAATGTACTCAGCACACTGTCACGAACATAATAATAAAGTTTATAACTAATTTTTTTGGCACACTTACAAAGGTAATGGTAAGCATTTAATAAAAGTTGGCCATTATTATTATGTTCTCTCAGTCTTTTACTTGCCCCTATCCCAAACCAGTCTACATACACAGTTTTTCAAACTGTTGTTTTCATTGTGTTTCCAATTTTAAAAGTTCAGTGACTATTACCAAATAAAATCCAAATGTTTTGCCAGTCAGTGGTCTCCTTGATCTGTCACTATCCCTTTCTTTCTGACCTTTCACTAATATATTCTAATATAGGAATTGTTCCCGTCAATTTCTTTGTTGAGTCCCTCAAAGACCCAGCTCCCAAGTTTTTGTACATCATCATCATCACAAGCACTTACAGATCAGGTGCTGCATTAGCTCATTTAACCCACATTTTGACTATGAGAGGCACAGAGGTTAAGCAGCTTGCTAAAGGTTACCAATAAGTTACACTCAGAGTGAAAACCCAGGCAGTGTTGCTTCAGAGCCTGTATTCCAAACCTCCATACTGGAATGCTTCTCCCCACCTGGGATGCCTTTCATATCCTCTGTCTCCCTTTCAAAAATCTTGAACCAATCATAGTGTTTATATGCTAGCCACCGATAAGAGCATAAGTTCCTTAAGAGCATATATCACCAACTTTAAACCACTTATGCTTCTTCCAAGTACTTAGCCCGTGACAAATTCATAATAGGCACTCAATAGTATTTAATTTTATTTTGTGTTCTTGACCACTTAGAGGTTTGATTTGTGTGCCACTGAACATAGCGTGTTAATAAACAGTGGGAAAATGCTTTCCTTTAAGGATCTGTAAATGCTAAATTAATTTAAGTACAAAGGAAATAGCCTAGATAAGACTATCCTCTAAAAGGTTTCTGTCTAGTCAATGTTCAAATAGAATAATGCGACAAGAAATTTGAAAGGGGAAGAAAAAATGGAGTCCTTCGAGCTGTTGGAAGGTTCTTCAAATATGAACCAGTAGTTTAGCTTAATTCACAAACATTTATTTTGTGCCTACACTATGTTAGGCACTAGATTCTGGGGATGCAAAGATAAGCGAAACAGCCCTAGCTGGGTGGCTCAGTTGGTTAGAGCATCTTCCTTTACACCAAAAGTTTGAGGGTTCAATTTCTAGTCAGGGCACATACCCAGGTTGTGGGTTTGGTCCCCGGTCGGGCATGTATGGGACGCATGACCTGGCCGGGGACCAAACTCACACTGATGTTTGTGTTTCTCACATTGATGGGTTTTTTTCTCTCCCTTCCCCTCTCTCTCTAAAAACAAACAAACAAAATCAATAAAAATATATCCGTGGGTGAGCATTAAAAAAAGATGAGCAAGACATGTTCCTTAATTTTGAGGAACATTCATGTTGACCGAATATTAAATTTTATATCATTTTTTTTTGTATTTTAGGCAAAATTGAGAAAATTGCTTACCATAAGAATAGAATTAAAATAAATTTATATTTATATTCTAGATTTGTAATGAGAAATAGGTCCTGAAATTGTGTTTAAAATGTTTAAATATGGTAAGACTGGGGTGAACTAAGTTTTTAGAGAGAAATATCAATTAAAGGGGAACAGTGGGAATATTGCATCACTGATTTATTGACTCGTGAAGTTGTTGGGGTACCAGCATGAGATACTACTTTGTTTTGTTTTTGAAACACACAGTAAACATTTTTCATGGCTCTTAATGACATATTGGACAGACCCCACAGCTTTCCCTTTGAAGTCTGAAAATTCCAATCAAGTTTAGTCCACTGCCCATCTTGATAGCCCCTTCTACTTCTAGATCCCATAAGGTTAAGGAGGATGGCAAAAGAGAAAAGGGGAAAGAAGCAAATTTTCTTCATTTAATTGGTATTGTTATACTTCTCTCTTGACTCTAGATACCATCTGGCAGACGCCTACATACTGTCTTGTGAGGGTCAAGGTTGTGACTTATTTCAGTGTCTTTCAGAGATCTTTCCTGTGCATGCTTCCATGACCTAGCACGTCTGAGCACTCCTTAGCCCTCTAGGGAACAAGTAGTACTCATAGATGGGGTACCTCAAGAAGGCACAAGCCCAACTTGTTTCAGAGGGATTGTTCACTTGGCCAGCTGGAAACTCATGCACCCCTGCCACACCACATGAAGGTGGGCACTGCTATACCTCTATCCTGCCACTTGTCTCCATTTCTCTTCTTCCCTCCTCAATTTTGCACAGATCAGTAGGTGGCCAACCAAAGGATGAATAATCTGAAGTATTGGGGTTCCAATGAGAAATGTTTCTTTATTGCTTCGTTTTTTCAATCACTGCTTTCAAACACACTCTGTCATATATTTTCCTTCACCCTTAATAACGTCTTGGGCAGACCTCAAAGCTCTCCAGACCCTTCCCTTCCTGCAAGGGTTCTCATTTCCTCTGATTGGTGGGGTTTTTTGTTTGGTTTGGGGTTTTTCTGGAGTGGGAAGGGAAGGAAATACCCAGCACCCAACACTCAGTCAACTAATAATTCTCACATTTCTCTTAAATCTTTTCTTCCCATGGTAGTCATCTTATAGACTGGAGGGTGTTAGGATGATGGTAACAAAGTTACTCCTAGAAGGTGAGACTGGACCCCCTTGGTGGGTCTCTTTAAAAATAAGGTATTTTATGCCTAACATTTTCATCTTGGGAACTTCTAAGACAATAGGAAATGTCTCATTTTATACATTTGTGGAGGGAATGTGAGGAAAGAGACCTCTAAGAATGTGGAAGGGCAATAAAGAGGGACAAGTTTAGAATGACAATGACTCTCTAGACAGAAGGGAAAGATCTG